CTGCTCCGACGGAATAGGCTGGTCATTTTGGGGAGCCGCTTGGGGGAAATGTTTCCAGCCGGCCGCGAGGTCCCTGCTGCGGACTCCCGCCACGGTCTGCCTCTGGCGAGGGCTGGAATGCTCCCTTAGGCGGCTCCCACCTGCAGCGGGGGCTCGGCGGGCGAGGGGCGGCCCCTGGGGTCTCCAGTCAAGGGGCGAGGCTCAGAGGGCGGTCCTCTGGGGGTGGCCGCATCCAGGCTGCTCATCCGCACCCCTGGGCCATCCTGGCACCGGCTCCACCGAGGGTCCCACCTAGAACCGGGAAGCAGAGTCAGAGGGCGGAAGACGGGAACGCTCAGGTGACTTTTAGGCCCCGGAGAGCAGGCAGGGACCCCGACCCCACACCCAGGTGAACTGTCTTTCTGTCTCCAGCCACCACCATGCCACTGCCCTGCTTGCCCCATACAGGACAGGTGCCCCTCACCGGGGAGACGCTAACTCCTGACACACCGTGAAAGCCCAGGGCCAGAGGCCATTCCAATGGCCCCCGTCCCTCTCTCTAGAGCAGGGGTTCTCAACCTTCCTAGTGCCCGACCCTTTCATACAGTTCCTCATGTGGTGGTGACCCCCAACCACACAACTACTTTTGTTGCTACTTCATCACTGTCATTTTGCTACTGTTAATGCATGGTCATGTAACTATCTGGTATGCAGGGTGTATTTTCATTGTTACAAATTGAACATCATGAAAACATAGTGATGAATCTCAAAAACAATAGATCATTATAGATTGTGCAATATTGACTTCTAATGACAAATACATGAAGTGTTGGCTGGAAGCATGGGGTAGCGTGGGTAGCTGCAGTCTTCACGCTGGGTACTCGTAGGTGGGCGTATCTGCATGTGGACAGACCCGCCTGGAGACGGAGAGAGGAGCGGTGTCTGGCTTCCTAAGACCATCAGAAAGATGTGTTTTCCGATGGTCTTAGGTGACCCCTGTGAAAAACCCCAAAGGGGGTCTCAACCCACAGGTTGAGTTGAGAACCCCTGCTCTACAGGGCTTCAGAGGCTGTAGATCTTTACCAGAGCAGGCAGCCTCCTCTTGCTCCTACAGAGCCCCTGGTGGGTTTGATCCTGGGGCCTGTAGGTTTAGCAATAGGAGCCCAGGTGGCAGGTGCAGTGACTACGTGTTGGGCTGCTAACCCGTAAGGCCAGTGGTTCTAAACTACCAGCGGCTCTGCGGGAAGAAATGGAGGGGCTTTCTACTTCTGCAGAGTCAGTCTCAGAAACTCACAGCAGCAGTTTACCCTGCAGGGTAGCTGTGAGTTGGCCCTGGCTCGATGGCACTGAGCTGAGTTAGCAATCCAATGCCTACCTGACAGCGCCACAGGGCGGTGCTAATAGTCTCACTCTGCATATGAGGAAACTGAGGCTTAAACACTGAGTAAGTGGTGAAGCTGGGATCTACACCCAGGTCATATGGAAACAGAGACTACATTCTTGATCACTTACACATACTGCCCAGGGCCCCTAAGGACCTAATATGTGTGGGGTGGGGGTGGGGGCAGAGGGACTGTACAGGGCAGGGTCCTGCCCCTCTGCTCCCCCACCCCACCCCACCCCACCCAATCTCTGCTTCCTTTATTTCCCCTCACCACTGCCCCCCTAGGGAAGAGTCACACTGGCAGAGTTCTGGCAAGGCTACCCAGAGAAGATGCCCCCTTGTCCCCAGGAACCTCCAGCTTGAGACAGGCGGCCCAGCTCCCACTCAGTGGACTCATGCCAGGCCGTGAAACTCAGCCCGACCAGCCCCACAGAGGGAAGCAGAGGGACTTGTGACAATGTCAACAGTGTCACACACACCCCCCCCAAATCAAGCCTGTTGTCATTAATTATATCAGAGGTATGGGTTTGCTTTAACAGGACACAATGATCTTCATGAAAAAAACAAGACAAGGAAAAACCTGGGGTGGCTTCCGGACCCCGCTCTTCCTCAAAGCAGTCTCCAGGAGCCACACTCCTCAGCTCTTAACCTCGTCCCCACCAGATCCAGTGCCCTGCCCCACACAGCGTGCCCATCTGAGGTGGGCAGACTGTGGAGAGGGGCTGGAAATCCAGCTCCATTGGTCCCCGAACCTGAGACAGGAAGCGCCCAGCCTACTCAGAAGCAGCTATGCCCCCACGGTCACTGTGGAGGGCGTGCATCTGGTTGTGCAGGCAATTGAGAACTGGCAGTGTCCAGAAACATCACACGCGGCTCCATCAGGCTTATCACCAGGTTTGCCATAATGCTGTTAATGGTAGAAAAGCGGCCTCCTCTTTTATGGGCCTGTTCCGTCTAAGGAGAGTCTTAGGGTGTGTGAAACTGGTGCACGCATGTCTGTACTTCCCTGGGACATGGGGCCTTTTCCAGCCGACACAGACAAGTTCCTGTAGCCAAATCCACATCACGCTGCTGCTGCTCTTTCTAGCTAGCCCAGATCCCAACAGCGGGTGGTGTGAGACAGATGGGCCGGAAGGGCTGGTGGGAGCTCAAAGGTACAGAGAGTGGGGTCAGGAGACCCTTTGCTCCCACTGATGCCCTCTGCCATGGTAGGTCGGTCCACTGTGGCAACCCATGCACCCTCAAGGGCCCTGGCTTCTAGTCCCAGAGAAGCAGACTGTCCCATGCCCAAAGAAAGCCCGAGAACATTCTGGAATCTATGTCTAGCTGCCTTATCTGTGCATTTACTACCAAATTATGAGATTTTTATTATTTGTAGTACTGCAATGTGATCAAACCACAAATCCTACTATGCAACATGGTTTTCCCACTCGACACTGCCTTGCAGCAGCTCCCCATGTCAGAGCATACACATCTACATCATCCTTTTTAATGTCTGAGTCGTATTCTGGTGTCTGGGTGAAGCGTGACTTATTGTCCCCCCACTTTCTCCATCTCCCATCTCTTCCCAGGTGAGTCCGGCACAGCCCAGAGGAGCCAAAGCCATTTCACAAGGAGACACAAAAGGGTGACCTTGAATGATCCTTTCCAGACTTTGGTCATGAGGAGGAGCCCGGGCAGGTAGCCAAGTATGACATGGCTTCCCACAGCTGGCTCCAGATACCCCAGCAGCCCCTCCACTCCACTACCTTCCACCGACCCCGACATGCTAGAAGGCAGGAAGATGCTCTGGCTCTGCCAGAATGCCCTCCTGCTGGCTGCCTCTGTCCTGGGCTCCAGTGACCCCTCTTAAGCCTCTCACACAAACCCAAGAGGCAGGGTGAGCCCGGCGGCAGCAGCGCCGGGTGCAATCACACTGAGCCAGAGCCCGGGCTACCCTCTGAGCACAGCAGGCTCCTGCTGCCCTGTAGCTCAGTATGAGGTCATCTCTGGAGAAAACTGGTCCACTCTGAGGGCGGAGGAACGGCGATCGTAGGGCCCATGCTTTCTCCACTAACGGCCCTCTGGGTCTGTCCTCAGGAGCATGGTGGCACAGTGGGTAAGTGCTCAGCTGCTCACCGGAAGGTCAGTGGTTCAAGCCAATGAGATGGCCATCTGTTTCCGGAAAGCTAGGAACCCCTAGGGGGCAGTCCTACTAGGTCCTGTTGGGTCACTAAGAATTGAAAGTGATTTCAATGATGAGTCTGGCTGTTTGTTGGCACCTGTCTGCAGCCTCAGTGCCTCACCGAGGGTCAAGAAGTCCTTCTGGGGCATGTGGCTGGGCAGTGGGCTTCTGACCCAGGCAGGAGTTCTGCTGTACCACTCTCCTCTGCAGGTCCCCAACCGCCCTCCCTGTGCCTGACACCCCATCTGTCCCGACCCCAGGTGACTGCAAGAAGAATTAAGGAAGCTAATCCCTAAAGGTGCTTGGCTGGAGGTCAGTGGTCTTTCTGCTCCCAATGCCCCAGAAAGCTGGTGAAGATGCCAGCAGCAGTTGGGATGCTGGCCAAGTTGCTAGGGGTCCAGAGGGTCTAGAGAATCCTCCCCAACATCTAGATGTGAGCTCTGGACTTCCTTCCACCTTCTGGAAAGTGATCTGGAGCCTCCCAGGCCCCGGGGAGGCCTGGCTGGGCAGGGCAGGGGAGACACTTCAGCCCACCAGCCTCTTCCCTTCAGCCCAGGCACAGAGCCCTGGAAGTCCCATGGTGGGTGTGTGCCACGACCTGAAGCCCCCCACCCACTACAGATGACCCACTACACGGAGACCCAAGCAGAGGGGAGAATTGCCCGAGGACCCAGCAACGCAAAGCCTGGACTGTTCCCATCAAAGGGCGGTTCTCGGAGGAGGAGAGAGTGGCGG